CATATCATTGCCACAGCTGCGACAATTCCGCGAATCCTGGATTTTCTGCAGGAGGACTTGGACAAGGGCCTTGCCCCCAACACACTTCGGAGGCAGACAGCAGCCCTGGCCACCATCTTGTCCAGAGACGATTCTCAACCGCTCAGCAGACACCCAAAGGTTTGCAGCTTCCTGAACTTACGCCCTCCGACGGTGCACCATTACCCAACTTGGGACTTGTCAATTGTCTTGCAGACCCTAACATCACCGCCATTCGAACCAATTCGCTCGGCTAGTCTACGACATTTGTCGCTCAAAACTGCCTTCCTCATAGCCATTACAATGCAGCGCAGAATCTCAGATATGGCTGCGTTCTCCGTTAGGGAGGACCTTTGTATCATTCATTTGGACAGGGTCATTGTGAGATTGGACCCAGCCTTTTTATAAAAAATTAACAGTTTATTCCACACAATGCAGGAGGTGATCCTCCCCAACTTTTGCCCGCACCCTAGCCATCCCAGGGAGCGAGTCTGGCACAAACTGGATGTGCGCTGCATTGTGTGGGTGTACAAAAAGAGGACGGCCTCCTTTTGCAAGTCGGAATCGTTCTTCATCTCATTCCAACCTACTTCAATGGGCAGGAAAATGTCATCTTCCACCATAGGTTGCTGGCTGCGCTCATGCATAAAATTGGCCTACGAACAACAAGCCAGGCTTGTTCCTCCTCGTATAACAGCGCACTCCATGAGAAGCGCCGCGACAATGGCCGCCTGGGCCACTCAAGCGCCCATTGAGATATGTCGGGCGGCCACTTGGTCCTCGCTGTCTTCGTTCATTCAAAATTACAGACTGGACATCTTTTCTTCGGCTGAGGCTTCGTTTGGAAGGAGGGTCTTACAGCGGTTCCTTGCGACCCCTGTTACCCGGGACATTCCTTCTTCCCACCCTGGGACCACATAGCTTGGGTATGTCCCATCCTTGGACACTCCAAGCAGCGCCCTAGGAGAATGACCGTTGGCTTACCTGAATGGTCGTTCTCTAGGCACTGTGGGAGTGTCCAACCCCGCCCTAGGGGTTTTTCTTGTGTGGGTGCAGGACTTAGCACCTATAAGACACAGACTTTTCTGTACAGCAACCTTTGGATCGGATACCTTCGTTTTTAAAACTGAGCCTCTATGGGGAACAGGAGGCATAGCTACACAAAGATTTGAACTCAGTCCTTGGGCAGCAAGCTGAAATTAACCCATGCTTGGACACTCCTGCAGCACCTAGAGAACAACCATTCAGGTAAGCCAACAGTCATTTACATTTACAATTATACATGAGATACTTTTGTTTGGAGAATGTCTGTAGTAAGCCTCTTTATGCATGGAGATTATCTAATGATCAGGGATTCTGACTTTTCAGAATACTTATTTATGTAGACAGCTTCCACAGAAAGACAAAATTCTTAAGTGTAAGACTCACAAGCAAAAGGCAAAAAAAAAAAAGCAGGAAGGTGCTAGTATGCTCCATTCCATAGCCATTGAAGAGACTCTAGGACCTTTTCACTATTTCCTCCCTATTTTAGTCGTCATCTTTCATTATTTTCAGTTCCCATCTTTGCTCACTTCCATTACTGTTTTTCTTATTCAGAAAATACAAACTATTTTCTGCTCCCCCCCAAAGTCACTGGTAATTATTTGGAGGAAAAGTTTAATTTTTCGTTCAGGTGCTAGTCCAGTTAAGTTTGGGACATTCATTGGAGCTGTTTAGTTGACAGTATAAGCAAACAAAGGCAGTGTTTCCTCCAGTCGATTCTATGATGTTTCTTTCTATATTTCTGGTGGCCTCACACCAAATTTGTTATGTGTCCTGTGTGCCTGTTTTTTTGTTTTTTGTTTTGCCTGAAAAAAAAAGCCAATTTGAATGCTGTAATTATCTGCAGCCCTCCAGATAATTTCTAGAGGGATGGTAATGTTATCTGTTACAGCAAAAACAACGAAGACTCTTGTAAAGGCTAACACATTTATTTTAGTGAAGTAGATATCATTTCTTCCAGAATAAATTGGTTGGTCTCTAAGGTATTGCAAGCCCTTTTTTTGTTTGTACAACTGGTAATTTATTTATAATAAACCCTTTGTTTTATCTCTGTTTTCCTATCTACTTGGAGACTGGGAAATGAGATAATTGGAATAGAAATAAGAGTTGCCAATTGTTGCTAAAAATGTTACATGAAAAATTCTGTAATCAGGTTTTTGATTTGAAACTATTGTGGTTACAATAAGAGAAGGGAGACACTTGACTTTTCCAAATTTGCCCGCTCTTTACACCTTCCTTCTCTGTACTAGACAGCATGTGAGAACTGATGCTATGACTCCAATATGAAGCAGCAATCTGCTTCCTATTCCCATCTGTCAGCATTGACAGATAGGTGACTGAAGTATCACACTTTAAAATCACAGCGATCTTTGAATAATTAAGAGACTGAAACATTGTGAAGGCCTTTATTTCTGCAAGCAGAAATAAAGCAAGTCATATTAGCATCCCCTTAGGTAGTAGCTATGTCCAGTTTTGTTTATTTGACAAGCTTTTCATTTCTCATTTTGTTCAATTGTATTATACATTTTTACCAAAATCTTGATATATAAAATTGCAAGTGGTGCGTGTTTCTGAAATTAGTTTTTTTTATTTTAAATACCTTATTTCAGGATGTGATGCAGCAAGCGACAAACGCTATCCTGAGGGGTGGCACAATTCAGGCTCCAACAGTTTCTGCAAAAACGATTGCGGAGCAACTCGCTGAGAAGATCAATGCCAAGCTCAATTATGTGCCCATCGAAAAACAAGAGGAGGAGAAGCAGGAGGGCGGACAAAATGAATCTTTTAAGAGATATGAGGAAGAATTGGAGATCAATGATTTCCCTCAGGCAAGGATTGCTTTTTTCATTTTCATTTAAATTGTAGAGTTTTTTAATTGCTACCACTCTTCTTATAATAATGTTTTTCTGCTCCCATGTAACTAACTTTTTTCTGTTGTGTTTATGTTGCTTGTTTGTATAATTCAGTAACATGTTTAATTTTTAAGGAATGTTGTTGATTATAATCACATCACATTTTAAAAATCTTAGTATCAGAATAAAAATGGACTTGTAAGGCAGTACTAACTATAGTCACTCTACTGCCTTTGGGTCTTTCTCCCGCCTTTCTAGGATTAGGATTGAGTTAATCCAGTAACTATTCAACACCATCTCTGATATGACAGAAAAAAAATATATTTGAGGAATCCTTAAAAAAAATGATTTTTAATGACCAACCTTCAATATTCCAGAATAAAAAAGAGATTGCATCATCATTCAGATCCAGTCATGTGGCTTGATTTTCACAATCTAGTGATGTAAAGTCATTGTGATGATTTTAAAACCAGCGACAGGGAAACAGGACTCTGCCCAGGCTTATGTCATACAGATCCTGCATCTGTGCCTGGGGATTTTGGCTAGGTAATCAAAATTAGCACCATCCAATGAGAGTTGTCTTGAAGGATCTTTTATTTAATCAATAGTTCTGCAACCAGTGTCACTAAATGAAGACAACTCCTCAGTTATATGGGTTACCTGACACTGTCTCCTATTCTCTCCTGCTGGCTAATAAGGGTCTGCAGAGCTATATTTTGGCAGAGGATGTCCTGCTATTCCCTTCACTACTGAGGGGAAATCATCCGTGTTAGAGTTTTTATTTGAAAATTATATAGAGTCACAAGGTGAAATGAGTGATATAAAAATTAGGTAGGTAGGTAGGTAGGTAGGTAGGTAGGTAGGTAGGTAGGTAGGTAGGTAGGTAGNATCAGACATAATTATATAGGTTGGTGTGGATCTGTTTCTTTGAAAATAAAGAAAGATAACTAATTTTGAAGAGGGAAATCAGACTTTGCAAATTCATCCCAGCATAGTGGAAACTTCACAAAAAGAAAAATAACTTGAAATAAATGTACTTTCAGTTATATTATGTTTATGCTTAATATTTTATTACAGGGTTATGCCTATACTTTCATAACTGAAGATCAAGCACGGTATGCTGGTGATATAATTAAAGCTTTGGAGTTGTCAGGTACCACAGTTCCTCCTGAGCTAGAGAAACTTTGGACTGATTTCAAAGATCAGCAGAAAGCTGTGAGTTATCCATTTTATAGTTCTTGGTTTCAGATTGCTTACTTAAATCCTGTTTATGTATGCAAAGAACAGTTCTTAGAATTAGTTTGTTCAACTAATATATTTTATTCTTTGAATGATGGTTAAATTTTTGAACATAACTTAATTGATCTCTTAAAATTCCAGTTTTAAATATACTGTTTTAGTTTTGTGATAGATACTAAATTCCCACATTTCTTTATCTATTTAATAGTTGGTCTTCAGGAAATTAATACTGAGGTACTGGTCAATTTTCCCCCCAGATATTTCATCTGTATCCCAGTTGGGAGGTTGTTAGGAATCGGTCATATAGGCAACTGATCCAAACCAGCCAAACAGATGAGTTTGTCTAGTCAAATTTCCAGCAGTTATAATTAATAGTTCCCAGGAAACCTCCAATCACCCCCTCAACCCTCTGGTTTCATATCTTACACTCTAAAAATACTGCAAGGCAAATCCTTGTTTCTATGGAAGATTCTGTGGGGTGCAATGCAAAGCATTGGCAGAAAATCTCATCAGTACTTCAATATTCATCTCCCCAAAACCACTTCTTACTAAGTATGGAAAGCCAACCTGGTATCAGCCAAGGTACCAGATACCATAAGGTATCAAGGAACCACATTTCTCTAAAATGGCATATTAAAATACCTTTCATGTTAAAACTTTTGCCAGTAAACATCTAGAACATTTTTATATTTGATGACTGACTTTTAATTATGCATATATAGGAGGGGAAAACAATTAAAAAGAGTAGCGGCTTCTCTGGTAAAGGATTCAAATTTGATGAAACAGAAGAAGCTTTGGCTAATGAGCGGAAGAAGTTACAAAAAGCGGCACTTGGCTTGCAGGATTCAGATGATGAAGATACAGCAGTTGATGCAAGTATTTCATACATTTCTTTTAGTTAAGACATTTCACATGTAAAATGTGCTGACACTTTTGTTTTCTTGTCCTCTGGCTGATGTTATACAAATGTCTTATATTGAAGTGAATTTGTGAGCCCAATTTCTTTTAAATTGTCGTCAACATTTTTCATTCATCAATACGTGTCTTATCATTTTCACAATTTGTGAAGTTTTTGATGTTGCCATAAAAGTCAACTGCAATTTTTTTCTACTTTTTTATTTATTTTGAATATTTTTAAAACAAAATTTATTTTGAATGATTTTTTTTTCGGGTTAGTACTTGAAAAAGAAATCAGTTGTTTAAGTATCAAACCATTAGCACGTTGCTTCTAATCATTTGCTGAAATATGAACTTTCTGTTTTTTATTAGATTGATGAGCAGATTGAAAGCATGTTCAATTCAAAGAAAAGAGTGAAAGACATGGCCTCGTCTGGTGGTTCATCTAATGTTCCTGCCCCAACAGCAGGAAATGCAGAGAAATTAGAAATTGCTAAGAGATTGGCGTTGAGAATCAATGCACAGAAGAATCTTGGAGCCGAGGCACAAGTATTGGTCTCTTTTCAGTTTAAGGTCATCCTCTTCTACAAATCAATCTTTATAGTCTTCATGTTAAATTCTTTATGTCTTGCTATGTTCATATAGTACAATCTTCATTATCCACACAGTTCTGCAGGCATAGACATTAGCAGGAAAGAGGGATG